AATCAGCTCACAATCCTCTGCATTTTGATAAAATAAACTCTGCTAACATTGACACCCCAAATACATCCAAAGTAACAAAGAACTGTCATTATGTTAGATTTATTTAAGAAAAGAAGGAATCAAGTAGAAAGTTTTTCTAGTATTCACATTGGTAAATATGAAAAGTTGAATGAGAAAATAAGATAATTTTATATACAAAAGTTTAAAAATGTTTTTCTCTTGTTCTGCTTTGTTTTTGTAGGGATTTCATACACTGTCTCTGAGACATGATTTAAATTTATTTGCTTGGTTTCATCTATCTAAATTACTTCACACAATATAACTGTAAGGATAATCTTTAGGAATGTTTTTCATTTTTGCCAAAGAAGTTATTATTTTTTATGTAATTAAAGTTATTCTATTAAAATTATATCATATATTTCATCTACCTTCATGTACAATTATTTTTTCTTAGCAAATAACCTTTATTGTCTCATCTCTGAAGAAAAAGAATGAAACAGAATAACATGTACTTTATGTCTACTCACTAATTCAATATAATTTTTACTTATCTACACTTGATTTCAGCAGTTTCTCTACCCTACTATTTGTCATAACCTCAACTCTTTCCTTACAGAAAAATTTTCATGATGTGCTTAACTGATTATTTGTTTTGCAGTTTTAATTTTTTTTAAGTAATATATTTTTCAGGAAAATTGTTTCTAATGAATTTCGGAGCGGTAATTGTCAGGCCGGGCGCCATGTAAGTGCCGGAATATTTCGTGATATTTTTCTCCGTCCTCATTTCTCCACAGAGCTGTGGTTGTAGAACCTTCAAAGGCTTTGGACATTTTGGTTCAGCCACTTAGTTCTGAACCATAGTCATAAATAAACTCAACAAAATGTTTTGCAGGTGATTTTTCAATAGGCCCATAGTCTTCCACTTAGAATCTTTAGTTCATATTGCAGCACGATGTGCCCACTGTACTAGGTCAATTTGCATAAAAATTTCACACTCAACAAATATTTGATTATTAATTTCAGTTTTTAATTACCTTCTCCCTGATCTTAAGTGCCTTTTTATTTCTGATTTGTAAATTTGGGCAGCTTGCCTCTATTTTTCTTTATTCTTCATAATGTTATAATTTATTTCAGTTGAAAAATATTCAGCCATGTTTTTCTTGGCTAACATAATAGATCTTACAGTGTGAATGAATATAAATTCATGTATGTTTAAAATAAATGTTTTGAAATTACAGCTCATGTCAATTGAGTATGTTAAATCCTCATTCATTCTACTTGAAATTCACATTATTAGGAAATTTTCATAATTTTTATAACTTTATTAAGGTATAATTGATAAATAAAAATTGTATTACTATATAGAGTGCAACAAGATATTTTGATGTATGTGTACATTGTAAAATGATTATCATAATCAATATAATTCACATACCCATAATTTTACATGTTTTTATTTCAACAGTGAATACTTTTCAGATCATTTCTTAGCAAATTTCACCTATAACTAACTGTGGTTACCATGATATATGACATATATCGGGAACAGAAAGACAAATGCTATATGATCTCACTTGTATGTAGAATCAAAAAAGGCAAAACTAATTGAAGCAGAGATCAGAACACTGGATACCAGGGGTGAATGGAGGTGCGGGAAACAGCAAGATGTTGGTCGAAGGAACTTTGTGGTATTGATTGTACTTTCCTTCTCTGACATTTTAAATCCTTCTTTCCTTTTGAAATATCTTCAGTTGGATTTAAACTTGCTCAAATCTCTTCAGTCTTTCAAAATTTTACTTAAACCAAAACATTCTTCTCTCTTTGGAGTCCTACATTTTTATTTTTTATTTTGCATTTACTGACTCCAGTATACTTTGTGCAAATCCTTCCTTATTGCACTTCAGTGTGACTTCTAAATGCTTCATTGTCTTCAATTAAATCTTAGTAAACAAGGAATCTTGAATTGCCAGACTGAAAGGAAATTACTCATTTCTTATTGTTTGTAATTTTTTTTTAAAGGAAAATCACTAAGGGCAATCAATACCTCACTCAACATTCTGGCTTGATTTTTGCAGTACTACAATTCCCAGAGTTTCTTACTTTATCTCTTTTAATTCTTTTTATGCCTGACAGATTGACTTTTATGCCAGCCACAAAATTCAAAATTTCACAAGCTTTGATCATAAGATTTGCTTCCTCTTTACTCCATTTTTCAACCTCTACTACTTTGTCACCTATATCCAAGAGGACTGAAAATAGCTACATTTTTAGCATTGACCTCTCCACTCAACTTCAGACTTACGTATATAACTTCACATTATAGATCCTTTTATATGTTTCTCAGACACTTACAATTTATTAGGTATGATCATTTTACCTTCAAATTTACCCATCTTTTAGATCTCTCTCTCTCCCTCTCCCTCTCTCTCTCTCTCTCTCTGATCAGCTTTAAAATAGAAACCACAGACTAACTTAATCCAAACATCTTCTTTACTTCATACATTCCAAATGATGGAGAACTATAACACATGTGTATTCATATCTTGAATTTTTAGATGTCTCCCATGTATAACACTATGTTCTGGGTCCTCATTCCAACACTGATTCTGTCTATGTGTGGTTATAAATGGCCTTACTATATCTACCTTTGCTACAGATGATCCTTTTCCACACAGCGGTCTTAGCCATCTTTTCAAAGTCACCACCCATGCCTAATCTGTTTCATATCAACTTTGGCTTCTCACTGTTCCAATAATGAAGGGGAATATCTGTTATGTTCTTGCATACTAATTATTCATGATATCTGGAACCTAGGTGGTGTGCAGAATTATGCCTACACAAGTACCTGATGGTACTGTAATCTATTTTGAAAAAATAAAAATTATGGAATACTTTACTGCAACATAGACAGTAGAATGTTAACATATAATGTCTTATTTGATCTTCACAATAATTGTGTTTGGCAAGTATATTTGATGTCTATGTAAAATAAAATTTTGAGGGATGAAGTGCCTTTCATAAGAGCATGTATTAAACTGATAAGAATTGCAGAAGTAGTGATCATTGCTTCTGGTCAACCCTACTCTCTTCTGAATTTATGTTTACTAAAGTGAAAATAATCAATTACTTATGAGTTGTCAGTGGTATAAAGAAAAAAGTGCCCTTCACTGGTCCAACAAGTCTAAGATCTTGTCTCAAGTACTTTTAATCATAAGTATTCTTCTTTTAAATGTAAGACTTTCAGGAAAATTCAAAGCGTATAGATTGTTGTTTCTAAACCTGTAATTCACTATACCCCCTTCATTACTGAAAATGATAAAAAGAAACATAATTGTCAAAGTTGCTAAATATTACTTTTCTTTTTTATTTTCTGTGGAAATAAATAAAGTTGAATGACATAATAGGTTTGAACTTCAGAAATTCTTTGATCATTACGAAATTCATAGGGAGGGTCAACATGCATCATGATAAAACAAAAACTGTGTCCATTTTACTTCATATAAAACCTGCAATCTGCAGGTGAGTTCAAATTTTGGGTTATTTTGTATTTAGTGTTCACTTGATCCAAAATATTAGTAGAAAAACTTCTCCTAAGAAAGAAAATGACCTGTTCTGGCTCTCCTTATTCTGTGACTGATTGATACAGACAAATGAGACTGCAAATACTCATTATTAGTTTTAATGATCTCAATGAGAATTTCATAATAAAATGAAACATCCTTTGCATTTCCATTTTGTATTCTACAGATTAACAATTTGATCATATTTTCTCAAACTTGGAATCATATCAATATGATACTAGGTGCTTTAGGTGCTGTCTTTCAAATGCTGCATTATTTACCTCTTCATGTGTTTTAGTGTTCCAGTGTATTTCAAAGGTTTGTATTTCTACTCTCTCTTAGTATAATGCTATTCTTGTCTTTATAATGCATTTGTTGTACTTTAGTTTTTTCTAATAAACTATCAGTGTTGTGCTCCCATTTTATCATTGAAGCAGTGCCAGAAGTTTTCTGAGTAATGCTGTGCACCTGCCTTTCAGTGGAAATGGTACTAATATGACATTTGTGACTTTACACATATAGAAGTGAAAGCACATTTAAGCTATAAAGAGAATTTTGTTCTATTTATTTGAATATAGTTTTAATTTTTTATGATAGAGTTAGCTTGTGTTTATAGCTTCAGTATTATTTTTGTATTTGTATCAGTATTATTAAGGGTAAGAGTTTCACAGATGAGCTTTCAATAAGCAGATACTAACCTTTTTCATTTTTATGCTCTATCAGTTCTTCTGAACAAAACTCATTTCTTTTTTTAATAATGAAGTTCTGGTAAAACCATACTGAGGATTTTCAGTTGGTTATAAATCTACAATATTGTTGGACCAGTAATTCTTAATAAGTATTCCTGAATAATAAATTTCTGATTGTCTTTAGGCAAGCTAAAAAAGGTTTAATGCTGACCAGATTGTGTTTCCATGAAAATATAGTAATCCTTATTTATAACTTTATTTGTATCAAATTTTCCTCTCTTCTATCTATACTTTTGTGTATCTTTGTGAATTAATGTGATGTCTGTGTTACAGTTAACCAAATTGGTCAAAACCAAAAATTCTTGCAGCATCAATCTCTGTCCAGTGTCTGGCTTGTGTTAACTTGATGTCATAGTTATGTTAAAAACATGAAATAGTAAACATAAAATGCTCATGAAAGGTATAAGCATGAAAGACTCTCATTATTAATCTTCATTTTTTCATAATTTAATTTTAAAAAAATGCTTTCTTATATTTGGAAATATAATGAAGGATTACAATAAATTTTAAAAGATGTATTGCTACGAGAAACATTCCATAAATGTTTTTAACTTATTTTTATTGATAGTAATATAATTATAGAGTGGTATGAGTAAATTAAATGTAATTAATTTTGTTTAATATTGTAGAATCACATGAAAATTGAGAAATATCATGATTATCATTTAAATTTATTTTTATTTTCTCCTAGAAATCAAAAATCTCCACATATGACAAAATGTGGGCCTTTATGAGTAGCAGGAGACAGTCTGTGCTGGTGAAGAGTAATGAAGAAGGAATCCAGAGAGTCCTCACCTCTGATTATGCTTTCCTAATGGAGTCAACAACCATCGAGTTTGTTACCCAGCGGAACTGTAACCTGACGCAGATTGGGGGCCTTATAGACTCCAAAGGTTATGGTGTTGGCACTCCCATGGGTAGGTCACATGCGGGCCACTGGCTCTTTGTCATTAATCTTAGTTGTTATGAGAAGGGACGGAAGCAGGGCTTCCACATGTGTCACAAAGACTTTTGTTTTACCAAATACATCTTTACAATTTTCTTTTTTATTTTTATAATGTAAAAGTATGTTAACAATTTGGACCTATGTCACTAAATGGATAATTTTTTTAAAAAAAACTAATTTCAACTAAATAACCAATAAAAAGTTTGTTGTATCAATGTTGATATACCACCTTCCCTAAAGAACATTTGCTTCTCAATCCCATATTTTAAAATGTTTTGTGAATGGAATGAAGGTTTGGAACAATTTTTTTTCAGATATGAGACTTTTGACTACTATTTAACTTAGCCAATAACTAAAAGAATAATCAACACAAGCTTCCTATGAATATTATTTAAATTGTTTTACTTAAAGGAAGGTACAAATAGACTATATGCCAGTGCCATGTCTTGAGTATTTGGCACCCACGGTTAATTGTCTTTAACATTTCCCCTTTTACACATGACAAAGTTATTTTTAGTTACAGCAATAAAGTAAAAATAAAAGAATCCTAATTGTCAACCTGGATGTGGTAGCACATACCATAGTCCTAGCTGTGCTAAAGGCTATTGCGCAGATATATAATACTATAGTACATGCAATATAAAGATATAAAAGATATAAAATACTTCCTGTTAGGGTTAGATATGGAGAAAGAGCCCACAGGTCAAGAAATGAGGTTGACTTTTAGAAGTGAAAGAGAAGGAAACAAATTCTTTCCTAGGGCGCATAACATATAGCACTTCAGCACTTCAATTTTAGAACTATTGCCTTCTGCAAGTGTGAGATAGTGAATTGAGTACTGACTGGCATGGTGGTGCATGCCTGTAATCCCAGCATTCCAGAGGCTGAGGCAGGAAGATCTCTGAATTCAAGGCCAGCCTGAACTGTATAGCAAGATGCTGTCTAAAAAAGAAGGGGGGCGGTGGATTGGGTATTGTTTTAATTCAAGAAGTTTATGGTAATTTGTTGCAGCAGCAATAGGAACTTGATCATACAAAAGAAAAAATAAAAGTTAAAATATTTTAATTGCATCAGTATTTTTTGAGAGGATTAAAATGCATACTTATTGGCTTATTCTAGTAACACTGCATTTAGTAACAGTGTAATTTTTTTAATGCCTACAAAATTTTAATGACTTGACCAAATGATTTTAGGTGTTCTTATTTAATAGGTAGTTGAGTCATATTGGTCAATATATCTTCAATCACAATTTTATGAATTTTAATTTTATAAAGTTTCTTTCAAATGAACCAACAGATAAGCAGTATTAAAAAGCTGGACATAGTTTCATAAAATTCTCATTTCACATTGAATTCCAGAATTTGCAGTACTATCCACATCTTCAATCCTTTAGGGTTAGTTCAGGAACTTTCAAATGACTGAGAAGTCTGCAATTTTCGACTATATTACTTCACAAAAAATATTTACCATTAAATCCTATTATATTTGGTTAAATCATCTAAAATGGTTCAAAGTAACTTGAAATGGCTTTAAGAAAATTTCAAGACATTCATTCTCATAATATTACATATCCCTGGATATATACAGTACATTAAAAATGAATGCACAGTCACTGTAGAATTAAAAAAATAACCTTAAATTCTTCTCCCCACATATACAAATATAATTGGGCTCACATATTTTGGGAGATCAATTGCATTATGGAAATTCTCTAATTTAATGTTCAAGTAGAATACAAACCTGATAAAGGAATAATAAATAAATATATGCTAGTTTGAAGTATCATAATAAGCTAACAATAATTGTTTGAAACTTTAGAACTCTGAAACACATTTTGCAAAACTATTTTAACATTTTTAGATTGTCAATGCATGGTGATAATTACTGCTATTATTGTTTTCAGATTTTCCATAGAAAATACATCCCCTTTAGTGCTTGCAGCAAAGACCTCCCAATGTCTTGTCTCTACTATGTATACATTCAAAATTTTACCATTAGATTTAATTGTACAACAATATTAATATTTCCACATTAATATTGATGTGAAAACATAAAAATGATTGCGTTTTCAGAATGATAGGTTGAGAAACATATTTTTTTAAATGTATTAAATTGTTATATTCTCAGTAAGGTTTGGGTTTATTGCCCTAGCTGTGCGTAGACAAAAACCGTGGCATTCTCCATAGTTAGGTCAAAAATGATCCTTTCACTCAGTAAGAATTACACTGAATGAACCCAGAAACTTCAAGTTGCTGCACTCTTTATTTAGCATTTGTGATGCACAAATTATTTAATAACATATACTTAAGAGAAAAGATTAGGAATCTGCTCTTATATCACTGTGTAGTGTTTGGCACAATGATATTCTGCATTTAGCCCTGTCACATACTATACTTTTGGAGATGTCACTTGAAATCCATGGAATTTAGGTTCCTTTTTTGTTGTTTTGTTTCGGTTTTTGTTTTTTGTTGTTGTTTGCTTAAGAGACTAGATCTGAGCATGCCCAACAAACTAGCCCTAAATGAATCATGGGCTCAAGCTGTCCTCCTCCTTAGCTACCTGAGTAGCTGGAACCAGAGGCCTGTGCCATTATACATAGCTAGATTCTTTTAACTGGTAAAATAATATGGTTATATCACCAGACAATCCTTTAAAAACTAAATTTTGAATAGTTTATAGAATAATGACCTTTGCAACTTCCTAGATTTTGTTATAAGTTGGGCAAAAAATTAAGTGAAGAAATATGGTTAGGCACACTCTTAAAGCAGCTTTGAGGGGGTGAAAGTAGCCATTTTCTAGGCTCACTGCCCTGAGTTTCATTTGAGGTGAGCTCCAACAAACATTGTTCTGTGTTGTTTTTGAAAGGGGTGAAATTCTTGTAAATCTTTGCCATTTCCTGTTACTTTGCTTTATCTGGAATAGAGGAGAGATTTTTGTCTGTCTGTTTTCATTTTTATTGTAGTTATAAGCAGTATGTACTGTGTGGACCCTCAATTATTTGTTGAACAAATAAATTCTACATCTGGAAATATGGTACTGAATCATAAAGAAAGTAAATGATTTTTAAAGCTAATGACAAACTTTGCATATTTTATTATGAAATGTGATAACCTCTTTAAATAAACTTGAGTTATCCAGTTTATTTGAATTAATCAAGAATTCAAAAATGTAAAAATAAATTCAGTAAGGAGTGAATAAGATTCAGGAAATATGTAAGAGGACTATAGAGTATATCACAGATATTTTTCATTATTTAAGGTACATAATAGCACATATCAAAATTTCTCAAGTAAACAATTTTGACTTATGTGTAATATGAAGCCTTGAACTTGAGATTCTATTTGTTTTCCTTCTTGTTTTGTGAGTCTAATGTACCAATAACCAGACTCTATCATAATGTTTTGCTTTGAGGAAGTACTAAAATTAAATCAAAATAGTACATGATATAATCCTCAATAGTCCATTTGGATGTTTCAAATCTGAAAAACATTAAAAAGGAAAATAACAGTTGAATTATCCCTGAAGAAATACTCTATTGCAGTTTTAATCAAACAAAGAGCAATTTTTACTCCCTCTCTATCCCTGACATCATTAAAAACCACTAATGTATTTTACTTAAGATAATCTAAAGTAATGCAAAATATTGTTAGATACATGGACAAAAATTTTAAGGTAACTTTCTAAATTGGAGAAAACAAACTATAGCATTTATGATTTTTATTTCTTTTAATTTTAAGCTCAACTTTTAGAAAAGATAAAAGAATAAAATAAATTATAACTATAAGCCTGAAGATGTATACTTTTTTTCCCCTTATATATTGAATTCTTGGCCAATCAACCCATGAGAAAGCTGAGTTATTATAAAATATATTCATTGATACTGACAAAGTCACTGGTTTGAAATATAGAAATTGATTTGGATTATTTCTAGGTGCAATCTAGTACATAGATTAGTATGGTGTGATATACAGTATATCAGTGTTTTCATTAAGATTTTTTTAAGTTAGGCAATAGTTGATGATAAATATCTTTTATAAGGACCTTCCTAGAATTTCAGTCTTGACTGTATATTAATAAAAATTCAAAAGATTAAAATATTATGGCATGGCAAATATGACCAAGTAGAGTATTTTATCACTTTGTTTTGTCACATAATATTAAATTTAAATGTATTAAAATATCTCCTAACTACTAAAAAAGATATTATATATAAATTTTTTATTTGTTTTGTTTTATGCCTAATTCTGAATGTATCAAATTGGAACACAATAATTCAAGTTCCAAAAAATGAATATTCAAATAATTAACTATCAAGCACAAAAATACATTTTTGTTTCTTTTATTCAAATAATTTGTATTTAATGTGACAATATTAAATTCTTGACTTTAATGAATTATATATTATTAATTCAAACAGTATAACATCAAAGTGGATTTTAAGTCTCAGGACATATTGTATGAATCTTATCTCTCTCATGTAACTTCATAAGAAAAGTATAATGCACAAAAAGGTTCACACTTCACTCTCTTAAATACTTCAGAGGAAAATGTTCAGGTAGTACTTTATGGTTTTTTATTTCATATTTCTGCTAGAAATATTGTTTCATGGATTATTCATATTTGTTTAGTGATTAACAAACACAATGAAATATAACTGCAATACTGGAATGAAATTCTTATTTCCTACAGACTTTCAACTAGCATCATTGTCTATATTTCCTAGGTAATTAGAATGTGACTTTTATGTGATCATTGCCAAGCACATAGAAATTATTAATACATTGTATTTACATAGTTTTAAAATTTTAACCATAAAAACAACAAAAAAGTAATAACAGAAAAAAGAATGTAATTAATGTGAAAAATGTTGTTTGAAGTTCATGCTGTTTTCTCATCAAGAATGAGTGAGATAAATAGGGACTCAGATTTGGGAAAATTTAGATAAATTCCAGAAATTCCCTGGAACTTTGA